CTTGGAAAACATCTTTTAGGAAAACCTTCACGTAAACAAATCATAAATAGCATAACAGATCCTCATACTTTCCATGCTTCTCTTTTTCTATTAGCATTTAGTGAATAGCAAGATTTTTTGGACCAACGAAGATCCTCCTGAGTGTCGTTACTGAAACCTCTACCAATGACTATTAAGAAAGATAATTCAGAAAGTAGAATCATGTGATTTGGCAGTTTCTAGCCAATCTGAAAAGGTGAAGCTTTCAATGGTTTAGCCCATTTGTAATGTTAATATACACTGATGATTCAATGCTGTTCCTTGGACTCAGACAGACATGGCTGGAGCAGCATGCTTGCCCGTCTTCCTACGTATGCTTATCCTGTAATATTTCTTTGAACTTGAACAGACACGGCTCTGGCAGCGTGCTTGTCCATTTCCTACCTTTGCCCCTTTGAACATATGCCAAATAAACCTTTCTTTTTGCTTCCTTATAACTTTGTGGTGATTTTAACCTATAACAGGACCAAGCTGAGATCAAAAGCATTTAACTTCTAAGGTTTTCAGAATATTTATCATCTTACAATTGTCTGCTTCATGTCTCCTGGTGTCCCCTATTTGTGCTTTCATAACTGTGGGAAATTCCTGTTCCCTCTGCAATAAATTCTCCTAAACTGAAATGACACGTGGTTTTTATTTTTTAATTATTCACAAAATATCACTATGTGTATTTGTTTTTAAATTCAACATTGAAAAATCAGTTGCACACACTTTCATATCTCAGTTGAATCCAAAACGAAAAACAAGTACTTATCTTTTTGTTTGTTTTTGAAAATGTATGTGTGGTGGACCATTTTAACAGTCAGAACGAGTAGTGATAGAATAAAACGTACTTCTAAATCTCCAGCGAATAGAAATTTTTTTCATTCATCTCTACCATATTTTCTTCTTGATGACAATTTTGACGTTTTCATTAAAGTATTTACTTCACAAGTCACTAGTTAATTGGAGTAATGATACTTCATTTTGTATCATATAACTCAAATAGGTTTTAGTCAAATTGTTTGTTATTTGTCTTCTGCCTGGTCTGCCATGGGGCGACATGGCACTGTTCTGCAAGATCATCTTCATACTGCATACCGTTGCAATTCCATACAGAAAGGAAAATCACTGTTATCATAAGGAAGTAATCCCTTTTACGTCTTTGCTTGAACTGAAGCTCTATAATTTCAAACTATAGTTGAGTTTCATTTTACCACCATCTTGTAAAAATTGGACATTGCTCATTGATATTGAAAATTGGTATTAGAATACAGAAAATATGTAATAAAGTCTCATAGTAATCATAACAATAAATTATACATTCATACAAAAATTAATTTCTTCCATTTGAGTTAATCAGATTCCATAAAACTG